AGAGCATCAGTGAACTTATAAAAATCTAAGAAGAGCTTCGAATTGCAACTTTATAACGAAGAAATCTTGGAGTTCAATGGGTTAACCCTTTAATAGTAACCCTTACTGCTCAAAAAGGTATCGTCAACTTTATGGCAGAAAATCTTTCAACTCCTACTCTTCTTTAGCCAAAAAATCATCGAGTGTGAAGGGTTAAATTCATTTACAAAAAATATCGGATATTTAACCCTGTGCACTCGAGAGGTGCCTCTCAGGCGCCATTTAATCAGATTCTAAAGATGAATATTAATTAATTTATCAAATTTACAATTACCCAACGATGCGTGGAATATCGAACTAAAATAATTCTACGTCTTAATTTGCATACGATTTCTTATTTACCGTTTTAGAAATATCGACTTTATGGCAGAAAGTCTTCGAATTACTATTTTCCTGTAACCAAAAAATCGCCGAGTGCAAAGGGTTAATATTATTTCCTAATAAACGATTAACCCTTTGCGGTTGGCAGATTTCGCACTAGATTTTTCTGTACAGGATTTCTGTAATTTTCTGCAGTTTTCTGTATTTTTCAATTTGCAAATGACCACACTACGGGGACATCGACTGCAAAGGGTTAATCTTTACTTAAAAAAAAAATATAAATAAATAAATAAAAAATTGTAGATCCAAGTGTATAAATATAAAATAAAATATTAAATAATAAAGTAGAGTAAATGAAATAAATGTTAGGGGGCAGGGGTGGGGGGATACGTATACATAAATCTTGGGACGTTTTAATTAAGAAATATTTTCAATAAAGAGGGAATGAAAGGCTTAATCAAGATATGAATTTTACGTACACGGGGGGTATTTATGCTTCGTCAAAACTGGTGTATAAAAAGGCTCCCTTTAAGGCCTCTCATTAGTTGTTTACGTCTGTAAGCAAGCGTGAACAAGTTGGTACGTTTCCGACACGTAAACTTTTCCCAGAAAACATTTTCTGGTTTGCTTCACGCGTGTTACTATAACTTTGAACACGAACCAGTTGTTTTGGCTTCCAGAATATTTCGACCAATTCATTTATTTACTACTTAGAGTTAGGTCTGGTTACTACAGCAACATTCCTTGTGAAATTTACACTGGTTGCATTATAAACAGCTTAGAAATAAACAACGTAATGCAAATACCATAAGAAACAATTTCTTTCTTTCTGTGAAATTCTTTAGTGTTTATGAAGAAACAATATAATGTAAATAAGGTAAAAGACTTTTCTTTGTGTCTATTAATTAATGAAGAAGTCGTTAAAAAATATTAATTCAGAATTTTTCTCTTTATAACTCACACAGCACTTACTGAAATAACAACGTAATGCAAATACCATAAGAAAAAATTTCTCTCTTTCTATGAAATTCTTTAGTGTTTATGAAGAAACAATATAATGTAAATAAGGTAAAAGACTTTTCTTTGTGTCTATTAATTAATGAAGAAGTCGTTAAAAAATATTAATTCAGAATTTTTCTTGTTATAACTGACACAATACTTAGTAGAATTTTTTCCTGTTTTGTTAGGAAAATATGGAACTATAGAATACAAGCAAATAACGTTGCTTTTCATTGCAATGATTGTATGAAACTCTTTTTCAATATTGTTCATTACAAGAAATAAAATTGTTTAAAAATATAGAATTTTTTAATTGCAATACGTTAAACAATTGTAATACTTGATGAACAATATTATTTAATAAACTCTCAGATTTGTGCCGTTTTTTTATATAAAACTCTGATATGATTTTATGAATTTTCCATATTTATCATCATAACACTATTTTATAATATGCAATTATATACTTTTACAGTCTTCATTTCTCCTCAATGAAGAGCTATAGTGACTATGATTTACCTCCCACTTTTAATTTATCTTTTACTATCTTAAAGTAAACTATCCAAACAGTCAACCAAACATACTTGTCTTTAATTTTAGATCATATGAGTATTGTACTAATTTTTCCCCCATTATAATTCTTCCAAATTATTGCTCACTTATAGAGTTAAAATTCCATGCAACTACCATCCAAGTTTCTAAATTCTCTAACAATACATTTTTCGACATCCTACTCACGACTTTATTCCCCGTTCAGGAAACTATACCGAAACATCCAGAAACATGCTCCAAATTCCGTAAGAAAGGAACTTCGACTCCATTCACGGCAAAAAAAAAAAGGAAAAAAGGAAAGAAAGGAGAAAGAAACAGTAAATAAAACGTTGAAAAAAGACATACACATACGAAAGGTGCAAAAAGAACGTAACCGATCAGCTCGTAAAAAGTTTGCGCTACTTTCGACAACTTGCCGCGATGCTAAAAGTGTATTAAAAGTTCGGTAATCGATAATGACTCCAGCTTTTCGTCGACGTCTTTTTCTGCACGTCACGTTTCGTCCCCTCCTCCTAACCGAGCGAAGAGAGTTGGGAAGGAGAGGGGGGAGCGAGAGAGGGGCGGGGGAGTGAGAAAGAGAGAGAGGGGGAGAGGCCCTCTATTTTTCAGAGGCGAGAGACGACGCCAGAACACGATGGACACGCCACGATTTCAACCGGCAACAAATCAACTCGCATTAAACACAATTACCCACGACAGATGACGTAGGGGTACCGAGTTAGTTGCTACTCGTTATCCGGCAAATTGATCAAACTGCCTTTACTTAAGTGTATCTATCCATCACCGGCCCTACGAGGTCGAACGTATCAGTTCTGATAAGTAGCACCTGTTATTATAATAATAAAATAAAAGCGCGGTTATCGCCAAGCTTATTACACGCGATTCCAACCGTTTCTCATTCTTTGTCTTGGAACATTTCGAATCTTTAATTCCTGACGCCATTCTGGAATTTAGAATTTAAAATGGATAGTGAGGTTAGTTTGTTAATTGTATTAATTCCATTTGTATTGTTAATAATAATATACCGAAACTTTCAGGAATTCTATTTTTAGAAAAATTTTGTGTCCGAGGTATTAATTTCGTAAATTGTCAATTGTAATATGGTGCACGAATATTTATTGGGATATGTAAGGAGAAAATGTTACTGTTGGATGAAGTCACGTTTTGTGAATAAATAATTCAAGAGCTCCCGATAATCTATAACATAGCTATATCGTTACTCTAATTTTATTCAATGTATATGAGTTAATAATAATTCATTGGTTACAACTATATCCGATATTCTCGAAATAATATTAATTATATAACGTAATTACAATTATTAGGTGAGAATATCAGAGAAAGATTAATCTTTAAATATGTATAAATTATTAACGACTTCTGTATTATTAGGACTCACGAACTTTGAACTTTTTACACTTCACACTGAAGATTTTTCTATCTCTCTGTTAAATATTATCAATACATTCAATATATCTTTTACGTTGAGAATATTTCATATCCTCGTCTCACTATTGCATTCCATAACCTATGACACTATGTAATATAAACGAATGTCACTGATATCATTTAAGAAAAAATTAGAAAATATAAATTCCTTACAGATTCGAAAATAACGATATATATTGCCTATTTAATCACCGAAACACACCATTTTCTACTCAATTCGAAATATTACAGTATAGGAAAAAATATAAAAATTAAATAGTGGTACCAATAGTATAGAGAAAACTAGTAAAGTTAGGGACCCTATGACCGGTGTGACGCGCGTAGTTTTTGAAACGCGTGAAACTCGCAACGCGACCCTTTCGCATTTAATACAGTCCTCGTGAAAATACTGTCGCACCGATGGCGAGGTATAACTCTTTGTTTGGAGGGTGCGAACGCGGGCTAGAAAACTCGTGACACAGGCAGCTGTTCGAATTACATTGGGCTCGCCCCTGGCGCGTGGACGGTTTATTGACACACTCTCCAGGCGACCGCGTATTATTACCAGCGTCGTGCATTCGCCACGAAACGTATGGCCGTTTTTCAAGAAAGAAAACGACCACCGAAGCATTGGGAAGAATCTCGGTTTCATGGACCGAGAGGGGGAGAAAATCAACAATACTTCCACCTTTCGTGGCGTTCTCTCCATTCTCCACGCGATCCGTCTTTCATATCAGGCAACATCGATTCTTTAATACGCAGGATTTTCGAAAGCATACGATGTTCCATTGCACGATGGTAAATATTTTTTGAACCATACACTCGAATGTCACGAACACGTTCACTAGTTACATACGAAAACTTACATCTTCAAATGTAGAAAGATTCATGTCAGTCGATGATCTCAATAAATCGAATGGAAGATGAGGTTGTGAACACTGATTTACCAAGCGGTTATCGTTCGTTTAATTGGCATTCGCGGAGCGTGATGTTTGTCGAAAGGTACATTACGCATCTGTGAGGAACATGCTGCGTGTAATTGTTAAATATGAAATGAGTATTTGGAGCGACCACGCTATGTAAAACGAAGGAAAAAGACAGAAAGAGACACGATAGAAAAGGCGTGCTTACACGCTTCAAGCCACACGCATATGCTTTTGACGTTTCGCGTCCGGTAGCGTCCGTAAAGGATTGCTTTGCTAATATTTAGATTATCGCGGCATTCACTATAGCGGCGTTCGATGATGTTAGGCTATGAGAAATTCTTATGATACGTTCGATCTTTGTAAACGAATAAAAACTTGACTGACATGAGAAAAAAAGAACGACGGTCACGGCGGCCGGGTTCCGTCGTTGTTATAGAACATCGTACGTTCTCTTTCATCGTAGGTCATAGTACAAGTATCACTCACCTGCATGCTTCTCCGACTTCGGCGTGGAGGCCATCGCTAGCCGGTAGTATGTCCTCTCGAGCCACGACACTATCTCACCATTTCTACGAAAGACCGCATCGTAAACTACACACCAGTAGCTGCCGCGGCGTTTTCAGTCTGATGTAAACCCGACGTGCACCGCTACATCTTCGTTTGTCAGCCATCTTTCGGGGCGCGAGCGCGCGAACCGCCATCACGCGGCCGAGATTTGAACACTGCGACCATCAAGTCAATATGGCCGACGGCCTGTCAATCGTGTGACATTTCACTCACTTTTCGCACCCGAAAGGTTACGTTTAGACTACTGCTTTTACGAGAAGAGCGTGTTCCGCGATCACAATTGTATAAGAGTGTAAACCTTGACACTGGTTAATCCACTGGAACGATTGATACTATAAATATAGTTGTGTGAAAATTAATTGGAGGAATAACGACGCAACGCTGGCTCTGCTAGGTTGGTACAGTGGTACGCAAAATTCATCGTCCATCGATAATCGCTACAGTCTGCAGCAAAAAAATAATTCAATGGATTTACGTTAATCGTAAGAAAAGGAGTACGGAAAAACAATCGAAAATGTTTAACAAAAAATTACAGAATTTTTTAATAAACAGAATGATTGTTTCTTAAAAAATAAATGAAATAGGTGAAAATTATATTCTATTTATGTATCTTAATAATACGTGGAAAATATTAATTACATTAATTTATTTAAAAACTGTAATATAGAAAAATTGAGAACAAATATAGGAGGTTATTTCAATTGATGTTAACGTAAAATGGGAAACTCTGGCTTGAAACAGCATTATGAAACAGCAAAAAAAACTGGAACATTAAAATTGTCACAAAGAAAACTCGACGAATTTCCACAAAGTTTACTAGCTTTGGCGCCGCTGCTACGAACATTGGATGTGTCGGAAAATAAATTTGTTCATATTCCCAATGAAATTGGAAACTTTACGTTATTGAGACAATTGAATGTTAATCACAATAAATTAACCGATTTACCTGAAGCGCTGGGAGCATTGACGAAATTAGAAACTTTAAACGCAAGTTCGAATCAGATAACGAGCATCCCATGGACTATATGGAAACTAACACGTTTAAAACAAGTCAACTTGTCTGATAATCATTTGGCAGAATTCCCTCCTATGTTTTGTGATTTAAAATTTCTGGATGTACTAGATTTGTCAAAGAATCGAATCACCACGATTCCCGACGCAGCTGTAGCGTTACATGTGGTCGAACTTAACCTCAATCAAAATCAGATATCGACTATTTCTGACAAATTGGCAGATTGCCCACGTTTAAAAACATTAAGACTTGAAGAAAATTGTTTGCAACTGAACTCGATACCTAGTAAAATTTTGAAAGATTCAAAAATTTCCGTATTGACTGTCGAAGGAAATTTATTTGAAATGAAACAATTTGCTAATCTTGATGGTTATGATAATTATATGGAAAGGTATACTGCAGTAAAGAAAAAGTTATTTTGAAAGATTTCCTATCGAATATTTATTATGGACCCCGTTATATATAATAATTATTATGTAATTATTTTATAATGTTAAGAAAATGCCGCATCGTGTTCGCACAATTATATCATACTTAATACCTGCGATAATATAATTGTAAAAATAAAATCTTACAACTGATTGGAAGGTAATAATGTTTTTAATAAATTGGTAAATGCTTATACAGGGAAACATTTTTGTATAAAGCGTATGATAATGATAAACTCGATAAACGATAACGAATTATATAAAATTGATCTAGTATGTCATTTAAACGAACTTATACAATATAGATTTTATTATATGGATTGAAAAACGAAGTCTTGATATCCCGTATTACAATAATACTCTTATAAAAATCTTCTTATATGCAATTTATGCAACATTAGTAAAACGTACAAATGAAATGTATTAAATAATAAACTATGTTTTGTGAACAATTTTTGTATTTTCTTTCGTTCAATATCCAATTATATGTTTGAAATAAAAAAAATATTTTTTAAATCCCACATATATCACATATTTCCTATCAATGTATTTTTTTATCTTTTTATATACTTTTTGATATGTTAAAATAAGTTTAATGTAATTAAATACACATGTAATATATTTTTGAAATTATTATAGTGAATCTTATCAACAACTTTGTCACAAATTAAATTTTATAACAAACAGTATATTTATTTTTAACTTAGAATTTTTTACACGTTTTCTAACTATTTTTCCTGGTCATTATAGTACGTATAAATATAAATATGCGAGTAAAATTATCTTACCATTGTGAGTGAAAAACAAATGAACTTTTGCATCCCAAAATGGCGTGTCTGGTCTTTGCTTTCTCAACAGGAAGAGCTGCTGAAATTAAATAAAAAAAAAAAATCGACAGGTGAGTTACGGGCAGTAAAAAAAGTTACATGCTTCAACTTCCAAGTTAGCAACCCTTCACTTGCGAATACGTGAGTAGCTTAAGTATTACTTCGTTAGGCATAAGAGATTTGTATTCCACTCTTTTGCCGACTGGACAATTACAGCTAATTTTAGAGCGTATTCAATATCCGATGATCAGTTAATATGTGAATAACCAATGCCCAAAAATTTATGTAGCCTTCATATCCTTATACTTTATATAATTGCCTAAAATTGAATTGTTAAAATCATTATTTGTATGTAAACATTACATAAGATCGTTTTTCGAATTTATATTTTGCTTGTAAATTAATCACATAGAGTAGTTGCAATTATTATATTATACAACTCAATATAATCGGAAAAAACAAATGAAAATGATATTTTTTCAATACTTCATTATATTTATTGATAACCATATTTCCTTTAACATACTTTAAGCTCTGTTTTAGATTAGTTAAAGTGTAACAAAACTTATACAGGTCTAGGGTACAGACGACGAGAATCTTGTGTATGGAAGATATACTACTCTAATTGTTGCAAAGTTTAAAGATTTTAATAACATAATCAATTTTAAAAACTACTATATTTTAAATAATTGCGACAACTATTTTTAATTATCAGAATATAATAAAATATTTGGCTACACTGTCATCAATTGTTTATATTATACCTGCACCACAATAGAACGTCCAACTAACGACCATGGTCGTGCATCAAGATTTAAATGCCCTGCACCATGTTGCTCACAAATTTTTGTACATACACTGAAGCCCAATATACAACACATAATTTACGTATATTTAATTTGTATATTCGGTTATTTTCACAAATAGATCATTCAGCTGCTTTCATTTTACTGAAAAATAAACTAAATTTAAGCACATTGTTTCATAAAAACATTTGTAACTACCTAAAATACCTCGATTATGAGAACGTATAAGGTTATAATGTTCATGAAATACAATCACCAAAGCAAGACTTGCAATGTTAACGAACCGTTTCCAATTATTTTACAAATTCCGACGGCGATGCTACACTTTCTAACCAGAATTATAAGTGTAACGCGAGAAATGGGCGTCCCTGTTTCGTTAGACATCCCTATGGGGAGCACTGCCACCACAGTAGCTTAGTTGACCAGCGTAGTTTCTAGCAAGTGTTTCCCCGAACATGGCGGACGGTGCTTATTCGAATTTTCAAGGGACACAATGAAAGTGCACCGAGTTCGCGGCGGTGATGTCCGTGATTAAGGGCGTGTGGTGATCCTGAGGGTGGCCGACGTGGATACCCGGGCGCCGCCGTGATCGTTACGGTTGCATGCGTGCCGGCGTGTCGCCATCCTGACTTCACGGGATAGGGTTTTGCCGCGCCGCGATTGTGTGTCTCAGAGCGACCGACCGTGGCGGGGCCCCCATGGTTGTAAATGGCTGACGGGAATCGGAAAATGAGGCCCGAACGTCGCGCGTGATTCCACGGCTAAGACGCTGAGGTACGACATACAAAAGGTGTTCGAAGATCGAACGATATTCGCGCGGTCTTCTGTCCTAAAAACACCACCACCGGGTCCAAGCACCGCCCGGTGCTAGGAGCTGTCCCGGGGGTTGTTCGTGTCTACCGTATCGCCAGTGTCTTCGTCAATTGATCGGTTTTAGGGCTTTCCTATTCCCTTGATCAGCAGAAAGCTTGATTTCACTCGATGCTTGTCATCGATGATAAAAAAGTTCTCGAAAGCGTAGCCGCTCGTGCGCGACGTTTCGTCTTGTTTAGAACAGCATTTATAGGTGCTCTCATTCGTTAACGAGAGCTAGAGCGCGCGGACTGGTTTTTAATGAGATGCCGATCATATGGTCGTTATTTCTTTCGCAGGTATTCGCGATACTTTTTTGATTCTTGTAACGTACTTATCGCCGCTTGTAATGGACACGTACATAAATGAATGATTTGGCGGACGACCATCTATTTTGCACATTTGCGTGGACCAAGCATTATGTGTACGTGCATGTAAGACTTGCTTTCCTTTCGGATTTCAACAAACATTTTAAAAGAAGATTGTATAATAACATGGTTTTTTACTTGAAGTGTTAACCATTTTCATAATGCAATTATCAGCCCTCAAAACATGTGCAATCTTATTTCTGTAGGATGCTGTTTATTTCATGAAAGACTGTGCAGTTTTGTAGTTATATTATTAAATAATAATCTAACACAAATATATGTGGTAGCTATAACTAATATTATAAAAAGTTTCCCTTGTTGATGTTTTTATTTATGTTATCAAATCATAACAAGCTTAATGTACTATATAATAATTGTTTGTGATTTATACTTATATAGAAAAAAGTCTATATTAATTGAAGATTAAACAGTTTTAAATGGAAACCATTTAAAGACAGTGGCTTTGAAATGTCTTCAGTGAAACTACCTTTATAATATTTCAAACAAGTTAAATAATACTTTGTTAATTTTATGATTTAAATTTGATTTGATGCAAGTGTTATATATATTAAAACATATTGTTATTGTTTTGTGTGACTGTAGAAACAGGGTAGAAAATGTCAGAGCCAGAAGAAAGTCTGGCAGCGCCGGATAGCACTACGAGGGAACAGAAATTGGGTTTCTCTCATGGAGATGATGTTCTACTTCAACACAAAGATGGAAAATATTATCTTGGAACAGTTGTTGAGGTATATTTATATAATGTTTATTGAATTTTAGTTGGTTTTTTATATTTTCTGATAAAGCATAATTACATTATGTTTTGCTATTAGATTTAACATACTTAGAAGTTTGACTATATTAAGCACCATATATATAGGTGGATTTGGCAAGGGAGAAATGCCTTGTCAAATTTATGGACAACACCTCCGCGTGGTCCTCTGTTAAGGAGCTGACAAAGCTTTCAATGCCAGACTCTGATGTTATGTGCGTTCTTTGTAAAAAATCTCAGCCCAAGACTGATAATGACATTATTGTTTGTGACAAATGTGGTCGTGGTTATCACCAACTTTGTCATCAGGTAATAACATATATAATTTACATTAAAATAAGGCTGTATAACGAATTATGAAATAAGTATAAAATGTATATGTATTTATAGCCTCAGATATTAAAAGAAGAAACTGCAGCTGAGGCACACTGGATGTGTAAAAGATGTGTAGATAGTCAACCACGGACACGTGAAGTTATAGAACCAAAAACTTCTATGGTAAAGGCAAGTATCAGAAAAGTTTGCAGTGGTAGGGACCAACCTCAGCCGCCACCAGATGATATGACAAAGTTGCCGTATGATGTAAGTAGTGAAAACAAATTTTTCTTACATTAATAAAAATAATTAAGAAAAATTTAATCCTTAATTATACTTTAAGCTATAATACTTTATTTAAGAATGGATTAAAGTACTGATAGGATCAATAGTTAATTTTTGTTACAGCCTAATATGTTAAATTGGGATGCACATCATAGAGTAAATGCTGAACAAATTTATTGTTATTGTGGACTTAATGGTGAATGGTATACACAAATGTTGCAATGTGCTCGTTGCAAACAGTGGTTTCATGAAAAATGTGTCAGTTGCCTAACTTATCCTTTATACAGTGGAGATAGGTGAGAAGAAATCAATAACTTTTAAAGCAGAAACTTCTTTGGTTTTCATTAAAAACGTACTCAATTTTAAAATATACTCAATAATTCATATTATTTACAGGTTTTATGTATTTGTTTGTTCAATGTGCAATTATGGCAAAGAATTCGTACGGCGACTAGAATTGAAATGGGTAGATCTGGTGCACCTGATGTTGTACAATTTGACTGTTTACAATGCTAAAAAGTATTATGATTTGGACACTGTTATTGTACCTTATGCCAATGATAACTGGAATACTTTACAGCTTCCACCACGGGTAAGAAGTTTTAATGCATTTTTGAAATATAAAGTTCAAGATGTTTTCATATTTTATAAAAAGTATTCAAATTAGACGTTTTACGAATGCGTATGTATTTCTTACTGTTAGATCAGGGATGTCAGTGCTCAAATACGCAGAGAATCTATACTAGCAATATTGACAAATAATAGAAACAGGTTCAAATGCGGCAGAGAAATAAAGAAACGTACTACGATATGGGGTCTTAGAGTTAGGTTACCACCACCATGTCCAATTGTTAATCTTCCAGCAACTGGTGTAATAGATGATTCTGTGTTACGTAGATGCTGGGGTGCTAATAAAAGACTGCAATATCTTCCTCCACCTACAGGGTTAGTTACCATAATAATCCTGTTCATTCTCTGTATTTTATTTAGTTTTACAATAAGCATGAAAAAATATTGTACTGTTCCAGACCGATATCTTTACCAGAAAGTACAAAACAATTAACTGCTTTAAAGCAAAGTACAGCGGAAAATTTAGAAATTCCAGTAAATCCATCAGATGTGGTAATGCGTGGAACAATTTATCAAAACTCAGAAGCAGAACAAAGTTCTTGTCCCAGTCCAAGTCCCCCAAGTCAGTCTACACAGTCTTTGAGAGAAAGGTAGATTAGAGAAAGCTCAGTTTATTAATAAAACGTAATATATTTTACAAAATTCTCTGAAATGTTATTCTTTTATTCTTATAGATATAGTGGCGGTGGCTTTGTAAAAAAATCATTCCCATTTCCCAAACTCAGTTTACAAAGAAGAAGACGTTTAATGGCGTTAGGAAGTTCTCGTGATAGAATGTTACGTAAACATAAAAAAAGAGAAAAAGGTGATGGTGCTTTAAGTAAAGCTCAGGGTGTTCGAGAAGCTAGATACAGGAAAGCAAGGAAATTACTGAAGAATGCTATAGCCAAGGTATAATATAGTAAAAATATCATTATATATATTTAATGTTATTCTGTATGAAAAAAGTATAATTAAATAGTTCATTATATATCACAGAGTAAATCTCGAAACTCGGAAACATCTGATTTACCGCCAACACCTCCAACTTCAGTTTCTGGCCCACCTACACCCCCAGCTACAACTTCGGGTATATCTGAACTATCTGTGCCTAGTTCTGTGGAATTGATGCATCCCTTACCACCGTCGACGCCTGCGGATACAAGTGGGGATGAAACTAGTTCAAGAGGAACTTTGGACTCCTTCATTCCACCACCCAAAGACTTTGAAGGCAAGAATAATCCTTTTAGAAATCTCAGTGATTTATTGGGTACACCCGGCAATCTCAATCAAACAAATTCAAGTACCCCGTCACCGTACAATCAATGTCCAATCACATTACCTCTACCGCTTACTCCTGTTATATCTCAACCGCCGGTAGTGCGGCCAGCCAAAAGACAATTATCGGAAAAAGACATTATTATAGACAGAAACGGGCAAGTAAAACGTAGACGTCAGCATCGGAGAGGACGTCCGTCGCAACAGCAAATACAACAACAGTATCAACATACTGCGAGTAAGACGGCAACCATCTTACCGGCGCGTAATAACGAAGTTAAAAGTGAGTTTGCAAGGAATTTAAGAAGTTCGTTCAACGGTGCCTCAAGCAGTGCTAGTAGTCAAATTGGAAATTGTGTTGATTATGCCTTAAACGGGAGGAGACTGAGACAGCGTCAAAACAATGACAAATTACCGCCCCCAGATCCGCAACCGCAGAAAAAAGGTAGCTTACCTTCATCCCCAAAGTGTTCACCTGTTAAACAAAGTGCGCCCGACATATCTTTGGATGATTTAAAGTCATCGGTGAACATATATTTTGGAGCAGCTAATAGAATCGCTGCTGGTGAGAAGTTCGCCATGAAAGCAAAGAGGGTAGGACCAAACGGTCAGACTCAATACCTAATCGAGTGGGAGGGACTTAATACTTAACAATAAATAATTTGTTTATGATTATAAATGCATTGCAATCGTATACAATTTCCGTTAACATCGAGTAAGAGTGGTATTAAATTACTGCTCTATCATTTGCAAATCTCGATGTGTAAAAGAAATTATTAGTGACAAATTGATCTGTGTCACATGCACTGCCATTCGTTACATATGTTTATGTAATAAGTATGTATTAATTGGTGTACGATGTGTGACTGTTCTTGCAAATGTGAGTTTTATTTCTTTTGTTCAACAAACTATTAGTCTTATGAAGACACTGTTCCAAACATTAACAATAAATTCATTGCGGGACAATGAATTTCTTTTACTGCTTATTTAAAGTAAAAAATTGATCCACTGGTTTGTTTCGTTCCGTATACCAGAAAAACACGAACACTTTTTTTGTTCAATTCAGATTTACATTCAAAATGTACCGTCCATGATTACCTTCGACGCATAAAATTCAATTAACGTTTGTATATCTATTTTAATACAAAGGCAGATAAGAAGTGCATGTGTGAAGGAAGCATTTACAAGAACAATCAGATACATTGCTTTATGAATTGTATATATTGTAGCATAGTAGTTTCGCAGAAAAATCGACGAATGTAAAGCGAATGTGAAGCAAAGGGAATCATTTGCGCCGGGTTTTGCATTCATTAGAGATTGGCCAATCGCTCCTTTTTATGAGTTGTGGAGCAGACCATGATTCCGACGAGAAGAAAAAATGCGAATTGAAAAACTGACAGTTGTTCCTCTCACTTGAGCTAACATACTAGCGACCGTTAGTGGTTCGTATTTAAAGAGTAAAAGAAAAATATGGAGTAAAAAAAAGGCAGACATCCTGCAAAGGTTATTTTTCAATACAATCGTAGAGATAGACATCCGCTTCTGTAACTTCATCTTCTTGAACTGTTGCTGCATCTTCTATCCATATGACAATATGAGTAAAATCAAAATCGTTAGATACACATTATCATACCACCACGCCTGTATCATTTCGTCTCCTATAATTATACTTTATGCTCGACTCGCAATATCTCATATAATTATAGTTGCTAACGATGCAATCGTTTGTTACACGAATCTTAGAAAAGAACTTTTATTCATTATGTACGGTTCAAGATGATGAAGATGCGGTTCTAGCATTGCTCATTATTATACAAGACTAAGGGGAAAGAACATACCTATTTCGTAATAACGTACAATTTAAAGAGTCGCAGAGCTGAGTACGTAAGTGGTTGGCCAAAGTTATCTGTGCGATAGATAACGTTGTAAATTTTCTCTATGCGGTTTTTCGAGTTGAAGAGATCATTTTGAGCTCGAGAGGTAGCGAATCTTTATAAACTGTTCTTGTTATATTAAAAAAATGAAAGCAAAGAAAAAAATGTAGACCATGTGAAAATATTCATTCGCATGTAATAGACATTTGCGTAGGCAACATTTTTTCTTTTATGATTCCGAACATCTTTTAAGTTTTGTAGAATGAATTTTAAACGAACGCTGATACGACCTGAATTGATCAAATTAACAATGAATATTCGTACAAAATCGTTTCTATCACGATGATTTATCCGATTCGTATTTTAATCGATACAGCACAGAATCTGTGGTCAGAACTTACTGAACAGTAAACATTCGAAGGAAAATTAAACGTTGAATTATGCTTTGTTAAGCTTTTAAATCGAAAGAGCCTATTTAAAATGTCAAAAAGCTAATTTATTTGCTAATACGATTGCTCGTAATGGTACAATTCGAATCTATCTTTATTTTCTAATTTATCTCGAACGATTAAGTTAGAAACGATTACATTAGGAAGTAACAACGAAAATCTAAGTAAGGAGGATAGTTGCCTGGTAATCAGTCTTTCTTTAGATACCAAAAGTACAGAGAATCGAGAGAGAAAAAATCATGTTTCAGAAAGCTATTCAAGCGAACTTGCATTTCTTCATTTTATAATTTCCAATTTGTTTGTAATGTAAGAATCGTATGCATTTTCCCTGGACATCTGGATACGAAAGATCCGCGAGTCATTCATGCATAGACAGACTTACCTAAGATAGGTATTTTTAAGCGCTATTTATTTAATCTACTATACGTAATGATCATTTTTTTGCATTGTAACTCCTTTAGAGAGATTTTACAAAGTCGCGACCGACTATTGTTTTGTATTAAGCTCAGTAATGTTGAGCTTTAGTGATGGCAATCTTCAAATTACTTGTCGATCGATATATACGATTTTTTTTTTTTCTTTTGCCAAGAATTAAACACACGCTTATTTTTCTATACGTTTCTACAATGTTTTTGTTTTCTTTCTGTTATATTCTTTTTCTTCCATTATTTTTTTTCTTTTTTTTTTAATATACATATAAGAAAATTGTTCTTTTCACTGTCTTCGTATATTAGAAAAAAAAATGTGTTCATGTGTGTTCAGACTGTAATTGCATTATACACGCCACAAGATAGAATTTTCGTAATAATTTTGTACAACAGATACTCAGATAGCACGGGATATCTTATTTCCAATGCGAAGCGTTATTATACTCTCTAAAGGAAACGTATATAGGTAAATATTGGACGAAGACACTGCCAAACATCTCTAAGTTATAATTTAATAAACGACGTTAGACAATATTGCGCTATGATACGTTAATTTTTTAATTAAGCGAACGTTCTTGCGTTTAGTTTCTTTCGTTCTTCCGTTTTCTTCTTCGTTCATCGTCACGCACGAAGAACCGGAAACGAGCTGAACTTAAGTACAACTTAAGCCGTTCTCGTACACGTAGAGCCATTTTTCTTTCTTTCCGCTTTGCGCTGTTTTTAAGGAAAAAATAAAAAAAAAGGAGAAAAATGTTCTGTTCGTGCATTGTTGCACGGTAGATCAAACTCGCGATCAAGATACACGAAAAAGTTAACGATCTATTTCCTTTTCGCTCCTCGATCAGCGTCATCGAAGCTTCGTGATCGTTTCATTGTTTCTCATGTACGTTTAAGTAGGTTATTTAGAAAGAACGATTTAGGATCGACGCTTGTATCGGTGAACGAACATATTAATCAAGTTAATCACTTAATCGGGCGTTGCGTTGTCACATTGTATTGTTAAACGATTTTCCCCTTCATTCTTCTTCTTTTTGTTACGTTCTTGCGGTCTATCTTATAAGTTCTACGGAAGCGATTGTTTTTCGTACCACGGTGACCCCTTTCGTTGAGGTCCTCCTAAGTATGCTAAGTCTAGATCGAATCGACGAATGTGAAACCAAAAATTTTTGGAAAAAATACGACGATATTGCAACTTTTAGAGAAAACGTGATACCATTTTACACATGTGGATTCAAACAGGTGGAGATCATTCCTTGGAGCTTTCATAGAAACAAATTTAGGGTAAAAATACAGCTCCAATATTTCTCGTTAGATAATAAAAATCTAAGACTATAGAATCGACATATTTTGCTAAACAAAATTAACATATCCTAAATAAAGATCTCCTTTTTGGTTTCCATTACAATAAAATTGAAACGAAGTTCACTCCAATGTCTATTACTCATAGGAGATCAAAAGTTGCATGATTGTCAATTTTTTCTATTCAGAAGAGGAGCAGAATCCCCTTGGACGGATTTTCCTATTCATTCTAGTGTCTTCACATTCATATTTGTCCATTCGATCCGGCATGCGGCATAGCACGAGCG